AAAGCACTGTATTATGAGAAGATAAACTAATTTTAAAACATTGATTCTTTTCAAGTAATATACTCTTAGTTTTAATCCTGACAGCCCCTTTGATGATAGACACTAGATATGCCATTTTCCTGCACAGCACCTAAGACACTTGTGATCTATTTTCAAGGCAAACATATTTTGCAAAATATAGAATCTGACTTAAGTCAACCAAACAGACAAAATGTGCTGACTACATGTAGTAATCATAATCAAACATGTGCAAAAAATTGATGTATACTGATCCTGAACTACTGTGGACACTAATGAGGACGTTATACACACTATGATATTTCTGGTGTGCTCAATCATGTCATATACTTAAGTGCCAGTTCCAACACCACCACCATGTTCTTCGGTTTTGTGTCATGGAATCTGGGAACAATAGGCACCAGCATGGACCTATACACCAAGACTTGATCGTACACGCAATAGAGATCCCTCACATCACCCTATCCTCTCAGGACTCTAACCCCTGCTTATCTCTCTTTTTGAAAATGTATAAAATATATATGCTCAAAGAAATCAATAAACCATGCATGGTTAAGAAATAGCACATTCATCCTTGCTTTTGATGACATATAACAGAGCTCTCTCCATGCCTTGATCTCACATAGCAATTACCATCATTATATTTGTTTGAATGCCTTTTTGGATAGTTTACACTCTCTTGTTATATGCAATTTGTCATCATCACCAACTCCTGTTTCCTTCTTAACCCGATATATACACTGCTGTTCTACCAAACATGAGAAAGAAGCGAGCGAAAATGCTAGTTCTCATTGCACCATTTATTAGTTCTTAGTAAGAAGTAGAATCTCTTGCAACATAAAACGAATTTCTGATCAAGCAATGAAATCTTATATATCTACAACCGATTTAATTTTGATTGATATATTAACACAGTCTAACTTGTGACATCCAAGGGCATATTTCATTTATGATATAAGATGAATGATGTAATAGAAAATAACGAGGATTTCATCCAAGTCACCTTCAAACCAGGGACGTAATCCCCTCTTTTGTAATAGGCAGGGCTCTTCGCGGCCCTCCATTCGGCTGTTCCCATTCCATCTGCAAAAGTACAAACGCAATTAGCTCATCAACAAAGGAAAACCTCGTTTTCCTTCCACCCGCGCCTAGTCATCTCGTACTCACAGTGATTGTTCTCGCAGACCAAAATGACCGGCAAGTCCCAAAGCGCCGAGATGTTGAGGGCCTCAAACAGCTGTCCTTGGTTCGCAGCCCCGTCACCATACAACGCAAAAGAAACGGTCCCCTCCTTGGTGTACTTCTGGGCGAAGGCAAGGCCGCATCCAAGCGGCACCTGGGCGCCAACGATCCCGTGGCCACCGAAGAATCCCGAATCCTTCTTGTAAAAGTGCATCGATCCGCCCTTTCCCTTGGAGCACCCGGAGCGGCGGCCCATGAGCTCGGCGTAGGACTCGACGAGAGACCCTCCGCGGGCGAGGAAGATGCAGTGGTCGCGGTAGGCGGTGATGATGGCGTCCTTTTTGGTGATGGCCGCCTCGAGGCCGATGGCGACGGCCTCCTGGCCGTCGTAGAGGTGGCAGAACCCGCGGATGAGCTTGGACTTATAGAGAGAGTCAGCGGCGATCTCCATGCGGCGCATCAAAGTCATGTCGCGGAAGAAGGAGAGCAGCTCGGAGGGTGTGGTGTCGACGAGGCGCGAGGGTGGCTCGATCTTGTGCCCAGTGAACGGGACGCTGGTCTCGACGGCGATCGGGGGCTGGCCGCTAGCGGATGAGGCGAAAGGCCGGAGGAGGAGGTGATGGTGGCGGAGGGGGAGAGATGCTGCAGAGAGGCGGCGAGCGGCGGCGGCCATGGAGGAAGATGGAAGCCGGAGGATCTGCGAGGAAGGCGCAAAGAATGGAAGGTGGAAAGGCTTTTCTCTGCACATGGCGTCGTCAAATATCTGTCAACGGAAAGGTTGAGATGCCCCATCGGACGGCTGCAGTTCACCCGTCAACAATAGTCCTGTTACGGCAATAACGCATTTTGCACCGCAACAAATCACCAAAACAAACACTCAATCGATCCGAACCGTGAAACCTTGGTTTCTGGTATATCGTACGGTCTGCGTTCTTTGGTATTCTTTTGGGTGTCTGTGTTTTGTTTTTAGAAATGAGAGTCGAACAATGGTTTGGCGGCCTTTGGGAAGCAGTTTGGCCAGTTGAGACCGTAACCATAAGCAAAGAATAACCAAGTCGTATAGGCCAACCCCATTAATTGAGGTCAAATCAGGGTTTGCAATTATTTATGTTTTTTTCCTTTCCTCGGTGTGCTTTAATTTAAATAATAAAAATTTAATTGGGGCAATTACAATTTGGTAGCATTAAGACTTGCCAACTATTGGGCGATGGATTTAATTCGTTAGCTTTGGCAAATATGTCTTTTCATTTATTCTTTAATCATTGATTTTAAAAAATATTTTTAAATATCAAAAAAATAAATATAATTTTCTAATATTACTCTTGCATGTAATTTTTTTATGTAAGTCTTTATTAATCTTAGAACGAAGGGACACCAATAGCTATATTCTTGATATAGTTTTTTGGATGATATTGGATTGAATTCCTTGATTTCTTGATATCTCAATTAAAACATACTTAGAAGTAGACCTTCGTAAATGTCTTAAAAAAAATCATATCATATTCAGAGGCATAAATTACTAAGATTCAACTCTTCCTAACCTAAATCATAATTATCATCAGGAATAACTCATTCTTTATCCCATAATCTTTTACCTTTGAATGATTGTTTAACGACTTGGGAGTCAACCTTTTGCCACCTATCATTTCATAGTTGGTTAATTTTTTATCTACTATTAATGTTCTTAACCAAGCCTTCGCATAAGTTGAACCAACGAGAATTCCATGATTAGTCATAATAATATCGATTCCACTAGGATCTTGGTTATGACAAAACACTTTTGATGAGCTAAACTAGTATATTAAAAAACTCATCTCACCATAGGGAGTATTTAGACCACTAACTCTAATGAGTACACTGGACATCCCCCACAATCATAATTATCAGGAGAGAATAACACAGGTTGAAAGAGGAAGAGATTGAGTATTTAAATCGACCACGATGAAGTTTTGATTGTCATTTAGAATTATCAAATAAATCTTTATTAATATTACGAGTTTTATTTATATCCTATACCTTGATGCCTTCATAAAATTTAGTTAACCCTAAAGGACTTGTTATTGATCTACTCTACCTTGGTTAGCTTCACGAGAGACTCTATAACTTCCCTTAGGATCATCGACCTTTATGTCGGATTCAAAGCTTATTTGAAGACAATTAAGATAAGTATTTGATCATGGATGTCTTATCGATATAATATAATCGTTAGATATTTAATTGTCAATCGACTTTATGTAATGATGCTAATATACTACATGATCCTAAAGTTTTGAGGTGACCTAAGGAGGTACAAACAATATTATATGACTTTAATATCTCTTATATAAAATATGATATTATTAGTCTATCAAATAAATTTAAGAGGGCCTACACCTCGAAAAGTCCCTTATGGAGTCATTTGTTAAGACTCTTCTAGATCTAAGCCTATAAGATCACACAATCGAAATTAATGTTATTATACCATAAGAGCAAAGATATGAGCCTGATGATTTTTTATATAGTTAAACTCAAAAATATTTGCTCAGTCATCAAATAATATGTTTGACATTAATCGAAGAAGTATGTATGATACAACATCAACACAATATAAAACCCCACCATCATTCAATTCATCAAAATTCATGCAAGTTCCCCTTAGATTGCTAGTAGATAAATGTTAATGATTAACACATGATTTCATAACTTATTGATGATTGAGTGATGCAAATAATTGTTCTTAATATTTAACACAATCTTAAACCAATGATTATCCATCACACTATATAAAAACCCTCCATGTGCAAATTTAGAGGGTGATTAAAATCTTCAACTTCTTACTAACTTAAGTATTATATGAGTTTTATCGAATATACTCGATATAGTTTCTGTATTATATCTAAGTAAATCTTCCTAATCTTTTGACACATCAACCTAATGTATATTTGGAAGTAAATCTCAATTAACTTCAAACCTCTATATGTGTTGAACAATCGGAATATATTACAACAGTTCAAACCAAAATTTAAACAAATTTTTAACCGAATAATTTTTTATTTATACATATATATATACATATATATTATTGTGATAGAACAACTTAGGAAAAAAAAAGCTTGCCCGTCAACAATTAAAATTTATTAAGAAATTGTGGTAACTATTTTAAAGAGCAGAGTCTAAGATATATAGGTTCAAACACGTGTGTCAATTTTGGTCTAGAACTAATATAAGATATATTAAGAAATTAGTCTTAAATATCTGCTGATACTATTAGAATTGACTATAAATCAGAATTCAGCTAAAGAGAATGAACAGTAAATTAGAACTAACAACTATTTCTAACTCCGATATCGAGAAGCATACCATTCTATTGTCGATGAAGTTAAGCCAATGATGTTTCTCTTTTATTATTATTTTTTTTAAAATAAAATATTTTAAAAAATAAGCTCCCATTTTCCTTTTTTCCTAAAAATAATATGTTACATGGCAATGTCTCATTTTTATAATAATTTATGATGCGATATTACCTCAATCATTCAAAAACATGATATGCTGCCACGCGTGTAATTTTACCCTATCCTGTTCAAAACAATAATACCAGCCTCCACGTGGCCGTCAGGCTTCTGTTGGCTTCCGCCCTTCGATACGGCGAGGGAAGGAGATCTCTCCGTCCACAACACTATAGGTTGCTATCAAGCTCAATTACGAATCTTAAAGCGTTTTGGACGCCGTGGATCATCCCAACTCCATGTTCTCTCGTCGAAACCCCGTGTTTCGTCTAATTAGTCGCACGGTCCGGTTTATTATTGACCGTGCGCATCGCTTCTAAAACCGACCCCCTTCTCTCATTCTTTCGCCTCGATTCGACCATCGAGGAAGGAAGAAGCTGTTGTGTGGCGGTGTCGCTGACGCCACCCTCCACCCTCCCTCCCAACACCCGATCTCCCATCCCTAACGCGTGGAGGATTCAGATCTTGATCGCCCCCGATATCTGTTGTCTGTCTGGTTTCGTTCGGTTTGGGGTTTGAAATCGAGTTTCAGATCCGGATCTTGCCATCCGATCGGGGATTCTCGTGGATTCCAGCTCGAAATCCGTGAGCCCAGGGCCCGAGGGTTGGCCTTTGACCCATCGCTGCCGAGATACGGACCTATCTTGCCTTGCCGTCGATGGAGGCAATGGAGGAGTTGAGCCAGCTCGCGGAGTCCATGATGCAGGCCGCCGCACTCCTCGCGGACGAGGACGTCGACGAGGGATCGACCAAGCGGAGGACGTCCACCTTTCTCAACGTCGTCGCTCTCGGCAATGTCGTAAGTCCTCCTTTCTTACCCTAATCTTTGTCGCTTTCCTTTTTTGGCCCTACTTCATTACTCTTACCTTAATCTCCCAAGAGGACGCACAATTATTTGCTTAATTTGGCAATCCTTTGGTGAATTCCAATTTTAGGGTTCAATCTTAGTCTATGCTTGTTGCTTGTTTCTTTTATCTTTGCTTCTATCTTTCTTGTAAACGTGATTTCAGGGTGCTGGCAAATCAGCAGTGTTGAACAGTTTAATCGGACATCCCGTCCTGGTATTGGTGAATTCGAAATTAGAATTCTAGAGTTTTTTAATTGTTTCATCTTCTATTACCCACAGCCTGCTGTCAAATTAACGATCTTACTGCAGCCGACAGGAGAAAATGGTGCAACTCGGGCTCCTATAAGCGTTGATCTGCAAAGAGATGGCTCGCTGAGCAGTAAATCAATTGTTTTACAAATTGATGGCAAATCCCAGCAGGTTTCTGCAAGTAAGAACCCTTGAATCCGTCGAATGAACTTCTTAATTAATTTCGATGTTACAACTTGAGGAGTTTCTTCATTTGCAGATCGGCTATATAGTCTTAAAATTGACACAATATTTTGTTATTCTTAGGTGCTCTCAGGCATTCCCTCCAGGACAGGCTAAGCAAGGGCTCAGGAAGGAGCCGCACAGATGAAATCTATTTGAAGCTTCGGACTAGCACAGGTTTACCAATTTCTTCTTCCTTTGCTGTTGTTTTGTTTATACTCACTGTGCAGAACAGTTATAGTACTTTCTTTAGGTCTATTGGTGAATGGTTGCATTTTCAATCTCTTATTTATACTTTGAATGGTTGATTTATTGTGGCATAGGTACTTTTGTTGCACCACTTTATGTTACCACTGTTTATGTGTCAGCTTGAACATAGTGTATTCTTTCCATCACTCTTTACTTTCTGCTTTTAGTGAAAATTAGTAAAGTGGTCCTGCATATAGTTCATGTAATTTGTTTGCTCATGTGGTGATTAGTTAATTACTTCCAAGATTTTAATGTTTTCTTTCTTTTCTTTTTAATTTTTTGGTAAATGCATATGTTTTAGCCTTTCAATATATTTGAAGAAGCCTATGATGTACTCACATAGTGCATTCAACTCCAGTGATATTTTGCCTTGATTCTCTAAATGTCATTCGTCTCATATTGTATTTTCTACGGAGCTTGATGTATACAATTTTGAGATCTTGGTTTTGTACTTTTCTTTCGCTTTATATGAATTAATTTATATATACCAACAGTCTATGATACATATTACTTGCGCATGTATGTTATCAACAAGAGAAGGTCTATGGTGCTACTTTGGGATGGTGGTCATCGTTTATTGTTTGGTGTCGTCTGTTAGAAAATATCAATTTTTTTATTGATGATATCATGCACTTATATGTGAAAAATTACAAATTAAAAAAAAATCTATAATCACAGGTATATTTTGAATAACTAAACTTGAAAGTGTAACATGGAAAAAGTAAATAGTAAAAGTAAGAGGGGGCTAGTGTGAAAAAAGATTGGATTGATAATAAAATATCATATTTAGCAAGGAGAGGAGAGGGACATTTTTCTGCCTCATCTATGTGTGGTTTTAGGACTGATATCAACTTTTGGCACTCAGAAACTCTGAATGACAGAATAATTTTACAGAAAATTTAATTTGCTGAAGTCATAGTATATCAGAATTCTAGATGAACTTTGAGTGAAAATGCGGCTGTAGGTTGAGAGTAGAATTTGAAGGATGGTTTGTCTTTTAAAAAATTATTTCTTAATCTATGCTCAAGATATGGGTTACTGCTTTAATTTGTTTACTTTGGATTGGTATGTGGCCACTTTTCACAGCCTTCACTAGTTCACTGATAAATCGAGTTGATGTACAAGATTTGCATATTTTAGTAGATTTAGTGGCATAATATAAGATTTGAAACATTTCCTTCAATTATAAGAAGCAAGAGTGAACATCTTTAACTCAAAGTTTTGGCATCATTGATTGTATTCTCACAATATTACTTTTACACCTTTTCCTTATTTGATCAGACAGGTTACATTTTAAATGTAATTTTCTTGTATGACCGGGGTCACAAAGTCTGCTTGCAACTTGCACTTTTTTGGGGATTCTTTTTAGTGTTATTTAAGATATTTCAGTCTTTTTTATTGCATAAGTTGTTCTTCAGTAAGTTATACTCACAGCTGACATGTTTTTTATTCTGCCAGCACCTTCGTTGAAATTGATTGATTTACCAGGCTTAGACCAACGGGCTATGGATGATTCTGTGGTAAATTGCTAGTTCCAATTGTATCTGCAACAAAAAAAAGGCAGTGCTAAGTCTTCTTTTCAACTTTTTGGCGATGGGGTCGTAATATATCTCGTTTCAGGTCAGTGATTATGGGGCACATAATGATGCAATATTGCTTGTTGTAGTGCCGGCTGCTCAGGCACCAGATATTTCTTCTTCTCGTGCTCTTAGACTGGCTAAAGAGTTTGATGGAGAAGGTTACTACTGCTTACCTTATAACTTCATTTTTTGTGGTCAAATTTTGAGCTTGAACTTGTATGCAAAGCCTGACCCTAGGGCTTTTGTTGGGTTGTCTTCTTTCCTGTCTTAGACATTTGACCTGCATCTCATCTGCTTTCGTTTCTTTTAGGGACAAGAACAATCGGTGTAATTAGCAAGATTGATCAATCTGCCGGGGACCAGAAAACTCTTGCAGCAGTTCAAGCTCTTCTGTTAAATCAGGGGCCAAGGAGTGCTGCCGATATTTCTTGGGTTGCTCTGATTGGTCAGTCTGTTTCTATTGCTTCAGCACAATCTGGATCAGTTGGATCTGAGAGCTCACTTGAAACTGCATGGAGAGCGGAGACTGAAAGTCTTAAAACCATTCTTACTGGAGCTCCACAAAATAAGCTTGGCAGAATAGCATTAGTTGATACTCTTGCAAAGCAAATACGTAAAAGAATGAAGATCAGGCTGCCAAATCTTCTCTCTGGGTGAATCTTTTTTTGATATACTGTTACATATTTTTTGTTGCAAAATAAATATATGAATTTATTATTTTATACACAGATTCAGTTTTTTTCACAATTTTTTTAGTGCCTCATGAAAGTTGAGAAGCAACGTAAAAGATTCATGCATCATTTCTTCTGATAATATACATATTTTATTTATTGGAAACAGCAGTGGAACTGTGTGGATAAATCAATGGTTTCAGGCGTGTCAACCAAATATTTTTGTTGAAATTAATCTGTGAATCAGTGTCGATGTTGTTTTGCTTTTGTGCTGGTGCTAATATTTCCTTAAACACATATCATAAATGGAGAAAGCTTGTTCGGGTTCTTAGTAAATGGTAGTCTTTTTAAGCGTATTGGATATATTAATTTATACAGATATTAAATAGTTTGAAATTTTAATGCAGAAAGACACTGCACTGTATTGTCTGTCATACTCTTATTGTTGATATGTGACTGCTACGTCTCCATGTGTATCATTTAAGAAACTATGAAATCCTTTCCTTATGACATATTCTCATTATTTTTTGTCGAGCTATTCTATTTTATGATATAAATGTAGTTTGAGATAGTTTTTTTCTTTCATGTTTTTCATAATTGAATGTGACTGGTTGTGGACTTCATGAGACACAGTGCTGTTGGTTGATTTGTTCAGTTTTTGAGTTTAGTATTTTTCAAACATAATGCATTTTCTAGATATTTTTGCTGAGGTAAATACAGGTCTCATAGATGTATATGAAATATATTTAATTATCTTAATTCTTGCAGATTACAAGGTAAGTCCCAGAATGTGCAGGATGAGCTGTTTAGGCTTGGTGAACAAATGGTGCAGAGTGCAGAAGGTACCAGGGCTATTGCCTTGGAGCTTTGTCGGGAGTTTGAGGATAAGTTTCTGCAGCACATTGCTACTGGTGAGGTCAGTGGTTGTGACATATGTTTGGTTCTTTCTTTCTTACTATTTTTAATGGTTTATCTTAAGCTTGTCTCTTAAAATCTTCTTTTTTATTTAGAAGGGTTTTTTGTCACTGTTTCGGCAAAACAGAAAGATGCAATTATTTCTTTATAAGATCATCAAGTAATTTCTTCTATCTATTACATAGCAAATGTTGCATTTCATTTACAGGGTGCAGGTTGGAAAGTTGTTGCAACTTTTGAAGGAAATTTTCCCAACAGAATAAAACAGCTTCCATTGGATAGACATTTTGATATCAATAATGTCAAAAGGGTAAGGTTGCCTCTTGGGTATTCTTTTATAATATTATTTTACTTCTATGGATGTAATCTTATTGCTCTGCATGATCCGATTGTATCTTCTAGATTGTGTTGGAAGCTGATGGTTATCAGCCATATTTGATATCTCCAGAGAAAGGTTTGAGATCTTTAATAAAAGGAGTTCTAGAACTTGCAAAAGAACCATCACGCCTTTGCGTAGATGAGGTACTGAGCAATATTTTTGGATAGTCTTTCTAGTTGGTTTGGCCATATAGATTTTACATGGCAAATCTCTTCATGCCATGCTTAGAATTTGTTGCTTATGCTTTTGAGTTTTGTGGAAATTTATTTTGGTTTTATTGCAGGAACTTATGTGCATAGATTTTAATTTTTACTTGTTTTTCTTCATATACATTCTCCTTCTGCATTTTTTCTCTTTCTTAACAGTTTGCAGTTTGATGTAATTGTTGAACTTGCTTTAGATGTAATTGTCTCGATAAGTTAATATCATGTCATTATGATGGCAACTTACTATGTTATGTTTAAAATGGCTGTCAAACAGGTGCATCGTGTTCTAGTGGATATAGTTTCTGGTGCAGCGAATGCTACCCCAGGACTAGGCAGATATCCTCCATTTAAGAGAGAGGTACTCTGCTATTACTTTGCCCTTCTGATAATCACAATCTTGTTACTTCATGGACATGATTATCATTGACTTTCTGTTGTTTGACATTTGTTCTTTCTTAAAAGGTGGTTGCAATTGCATCTACTGCATTAGAAAATTTTAGAAATGAGGCCAAAAAGATGGTGGTTGCATTAGTTGACATGGAGCGTGCTTTTGTTCCCCCACAACATTTCATCCGTCTAGTCCAGCGGAGGTTTGTTTGTTTTAATAATTTATTCATTATTGATTGGTGAAAAACAGAAACAGCAAGTTAAAGATCTTCACTTGGGTGAACAATTTTGCATGTCAATTTTTAAGTATTACATATTACCTCTATTAAATTTTGTTATAATGTGCATGTTTTGCTTTTATCAGTTAGAAGGCCATTTAAATAGCAAAATGCTAATTAGAGCTTGTCAAACTCAATTGCTTAATTTGACACATGCTCTTTAAATTAATTGCTTTTTCTTCAGTGAGGAGCCAATTTTCAGAGGTGATATATTATGCTTTCTTGATTGTAATAGGTTCTGCAGCTTCTTATGAAGTCTTGTTTAATAAATCTTCAAGCCTCCTATTTTTTGGAGAAATCTGCCTGGTTTTACTTTTTAAAACTAGTTACTGAGTAGATGATGTTGCTTATAGATAGTGCAAATTAGTAGCCTTTTTTATTTGAGAAAGCTCAGCTAGTCTTCTTGGTAGAAATCATGCTTGAACATTTTTACAGTCTCAGATTTTTTGAAATATGCACATATTTTTAATTATTTTTGAAATATTCTAAAATAAAGTATGTTAAATCAGAATGGATAGGCAGCGCAGGGAGGAAGAGTTGAAGAATCGATCATCGAAGAAAGCAAATGAAGCTGAGCAGGCCATTTTGAATAGAGTTAGTTTCTGGTCTTTTTGTTAAGAAGTTGGCATCCTCTAATGCAGGCTTATGGACTTTTGCATCTCAAATATTTGTGATTTCTGAAAAGTTTCGAGTTGTAATTATCATTTTTAATTTATCATGGCTACTTCTGTTGCATCCTCTAGGCATCAAGCCCTCAACCAGGAAGTCAAGGTGGTAGCTTGAAATCAATGAAGGACAAATCAAATCAACCAGAAAAAGAAACAAAAGAGGGCTCAGCCTTGCAGATTGCTGGACCTTCTGGAGAAATAACAGCAGGTTAATTCACAATTTTGTGGATGTTTGGCTTGGTCTGGGCAAATACTTTTTGCAGTTTATTGACAGACATCATAGTTTCACTTCTGGTCCATTTACATTTTACAGATTACATCATTTCAGGAGTTTCATGAGATTTTTTTTGTGATGTATACCTCATGAATATTGCAGCTGCTTGCCAAATCTATATGATGTTTTTCTGAAAGAATTTGAAATATATATATATATATATATATATATAATGAGTTAATATTTAGATATTTTATATATAAATACAAGTGTACAACCAAGATCTTGTTCCAAATTGTAGCCGAGTGCTTACAATATCTGTTCTTTTTCCATTAGTTATTTTGGTTCTATTGTTGTTTGATTCAGTAAATAAATGATGATGTCTTTTTGATAACAGTACTCATTGATCTAAATGTTCTACAATTTACTATTTCTCATCATCTTGGATGAACCAAATATTTTGAAATTTTCACATTTGCTTGTTACTTGTATGCCTTCATTTAGTTATGGCTGATATAACACCTTTCTGAAACTTAAACTTTAATTGACTAGTATATACACCATTATAAGTTATCTTTCAGCCATTGTTCCCATTGCTTTCAGATTCCCAATTTATTTCCTAACACAGATTGGATGGTCACAGTAATGTGATTTACATTTTATTAGCATTTCTTTATATTGACAACCTAGTTTCCAATCGTGCACAGCCTGAAGTGGTTTTTTTTCACATTGAATTCTGTTAAATCATTTAGGGACTAATTTTCATTTATCTATAGGGTTCTTACTGAAAAAAAGTGCAAAAACAAATGGCTGGAGCAGGCGATGGTTTGTCCTCAATGAGAAAAGTGGAAAGGTTCAACTATGAGCTTTATATATTTTGCTATTTGCTTGATGCATCTGCAAGTTTTATATAATTTTTTTTTTCTGATTAGATCAACATTTTCTTTCTTAGCTTGGATACACTAAAAAGCAGGAGGAGAGGCACTTTCGTGGGGTTATCACATTGGAGGTACTACTATTATCTGTATAATATTCTTATTTCAATTATAAAAGCAAGCTTGTCGATATCAACATTGACAAAATTGACAGCTAGAATCCACATATGAAAGTGCAAGTTATCTGTCAGGTTTAATTGTTTCGCTCTATCATTTAATTGCATGGTACTACTGATAAAATAAACTTGAATGATGTTCTTAATTCATTTTCACTTTTTTTTTGTTTTACTAAATATCTTTAGTTGTTTAAATTTTTTTTCTTTACTGGTAATGTCAGTCGCTTAAAATGTAAAATTAACATTTTCTACATGTAATTACATGTGTGGAATTTTTTTTGCATGATATAGGATATTGCTGTTACGAAAAACTTGAAGCAGACTAGTGCTACAGTATAAGAGTTTGGTGTTTGTACAATTACATGCTGCATTACATGTGACTAGCTTTTACAAAAATTCCTGATTATAAGTAATAACTTAAATATCCATATAATTTGAACTTATTCAAAAGAAATTATTTGCGACGACTCCTCTACATAGAGATAATTACTGGAAGAAGAAATTTGATACTCTTCCAAGTCTGCTGACCATGGTTGAATACCCCTTAAATGATGTGAAGTGTAGATATTTAAGTCAACAATCATCACTAATGTAAATAACTAGTTTATTACAGAATTACCTGGGATGTATGCATCATCTGAGAATCATAAAATATTGGACTTTTATTTTCCTTGCAAAAAAGTTTTCTTGAACTGTATATAACCATCAATTTGGTACGAAAAGGCACATGTTATATCCAATTTTCTTAGATTAAAAAAATATTGACTAATGATCTCTGTTGCTCAAGTCATGTGTTCTGATAGGAAGATTTCAGTTTTTTCCATGTAATTTACTACTTGTTTGTTTCTGATAAACATGAATGTAGTGCATTTCACTTCGTGCTAGATATGTGTAGGGAATCATGTTCTATTAGCCTTTAGGTTTGTACCTGTACATGTTATTTTTGCTAATAAGTGAATATACTCTTCAGGAATGTAACGTTGAAGAGTTCTCTGAGGAGGATGAACCTCCTAAAAGTTCGAAAGACTCCAAAAAGGCAAATGGACCAGAAAAAGACCCAACTCTCATCTTTAAGATAACTAGCAAGGTTGCATACAAGACTGTTTTAAAAGGTAACTATGTTGTGCTTATCCTAATTTGTGTTATTTTTGCTACTAATCATGATTTTGTTGTGTTTGCAGCCCACAGCACTGTAGTGTTAAAGGCTGAGAGCATGGCTGACAAAGTTGAATGGGTGAATAAGATACGAAATATTTCTGGACATTCCAAGGGAACTCCCTCGAAGGGGGCTAGTGATTCTGAAGCTGGTCTTAGACAAAGCCATTCTGATGGTTCACTAGTAAGTCCTCCAAGGATGCAATACCTACTTTCCCAATTAGGGAGGACGAAAGAATTTATATAGAGAATTCAAACACCATGCAAACTGTGAAACATCTATTATCTGGAAATTCTAAACTTGCTAAATTACTGTAAGCAACTTTATATTTTTTCTCTGTCTCTATCTATGGATGGTGAAGCTACCTTGTTTTTAAGGTTTTTGTGTTGGATGATGATATTGTTCTCAGGCATGCATAACACTTAAAATCTGGCCATATCAGCATTTTAGACTTAGTTTTCTTGCATGCTGTGGGTGGAAGCTTGGTACATCGACATTTTTTATATTTTAATCATTAAAACAATGCATAGTCAAAATTGGTATATTTCTCTTTGTGTTTTCATGTGTATTTGCGCGCCTAAAAAAAAGTGTGAACCCAGTTCATATTTGCTTCCCTGCAGACATGAATTTATGGGCTTATGTGTGTGCAGTGTGCTTATTGGCCTGTCATTTGAATGCCTTTCCTTATTGCTGATTAAACAATTGAAGTTATGCCTAGACCTAATTTTGCACTTTAAATGCTTTTGCAATACATCAGTAGTTGTGTCGAGTTTTAGAACTTAAACTAACATGCGGATATATTAGGACACAATGTCTAGAAAGCCGGCTGATCCAGAAGAAGAACTTCGATGGATGTCTCAAGAAGTTCGGGGTTATGTGGAAGCTGTCTTGAACAGCCTTGCCGCAAATGTTCCGAAGGTAACTATATTGCTTTTTTGGCCTGTTGTCCACCAGCTTAACAATTTAAAGCATTGTTTATTTTTATATTATGTTTGTGTGTGTTGAGCAGGCTGTTGTGCTTTGTCAAGTTGAGAAAGCTAAGGAAGATATGCTAAATCAGCTATATAGCTCTATAAGGTTGGTTTCTTGCCATTCTTTTAGCATATGGTTGGAGTATATGTTCATTAATTAGATTGAAAGAATATAGTATTATTGGGGTAAATTATACCACTACTCCGTGAGCCCTGGTGCTGGTTTTAATTGGGTTCCTGAACTTCATTTTTTTGCTATTTGGCTTTCAAAACTAAACCAGTGTTGCGATTAAGTTCTACTGCTACTGCCAGCTTGTTCTCAGAATCTTTTAACGGAAAGATGTCCTGGCTGCATGGTAAGATTGACCAGCCAACCTGGCATACGTTTGAGGAAGAAAAGTTGTTCAATGTATCTGTACTGCTTGGTATGTCAGGCAAGTGAAGCCTGACATGCCGCAGGGCTTGGTTCTTGAACCATATCAGTTTGGGTTGAACAACTTTTCTCATTGACATATTCACCAAGTTGGCAATTCAAGTTCTACTATGCAGCCAAGTCTGCTTCAGAAGTTACGACTTGATTGAAAGCTGAAAGCCTGAAACAGTAATTGATGTTTAGGGAGTCAACTTTTAATTAATCATAATAAGAATTGGATGTTTAACTACTTCTGGGTTGTTGTAAAAAAAGGTTGCTGTTGCCTATTTTGATGTTGAATCTATGCTTTTTTTCTAGTCTTATTATTTAGTTTTAGTTTTTCAAAAACAAGAAAATATTATTAAGTTTGGCTTCACTCTAATTGCCATATTCAGCAAACAACAACAATAAGAATCATTGGTCCTTGTCATTCTGGTTTCATATGCTACCAAATGCAAGAAGTTAATCGTTATGTTTCCTGCTTCTAGTATCTTCTACAGCACTCTCAAGCTCATGTCACCTATTTGCCTGTTTAGGGGGTAACCTCCTAGGTTTTCTCCCTACTTGCTTGATGAGTGTGTGACTGTTAAGGTAGGTTCCTATGTGTAACAACATGTTCTGCTTATTTTTTCCTCGAATTGGAGTTTGGTGCCAACTCTGAATCTAGCTTACAGCTGGTTAAAAAAAAAAAATCTTTGATCATGCTTTTTTACTTCTCACTTACATTATCTCTATGGGAATAAAGTTTGGAATGCTGACGATGGTAGCCAGTCTATATATGGTGGAGCTCTTTTGGAACCAATAAACTATAGACTGTTACCTGAAGATCCATTCAACTTTTCTGTGATTTTCTCACTGTAGGTTTAATAGTTACAATCAAGATTAGACTTATGGATTCAAATATCATTATGCCCACCATACTAGTTGTAGGTTGGGCTGGTTTGGTGCTATTACACTGAACTGTATGCCGACTTATACCGTCCATTATGCTGAAATAACAACAATAATAAAATAATCCTACATGGCATTATTTGAATTGTATACACTGTTATTGGTCCTTTGTTTGACCGGCATTTTAAACAATAGTTGTGCTTGTACCTCTCAAATTCCGCAACTTCCAGAATTTATTCATCATATATTTTATAATGGGATTGTTCTTTGTTTAGCGCTCAAAGCACAGCAAAAATTGAAGAACTAATCCAGGAGGACCAAAATGTGAAGCATAGACGAGAAAGGTTCCAAAGGCAGTCATCTCTTCTTTCAAAACTTACACGCCAGCTAAGCATCCATGACAACCGTGCAGCTGCAGCTAGCTCTTCAGATGGTAGCACTGGAACAGGTAATATTTCATAGCATCTGTTAATAACTGCTTTGCTTAGCCCAAAGTTGATACATAAAATAGTTCATTACTATGGGCCCCAGCCCTTGCTTCGTGAAGAGGTTTAGTAGCTAGCTCTTCCTAATTAATTTATTTTCTTGTAACATAGCTAACTCATTGTGTAGCATGAAGATTATTGTAATCAGTATCGAAGAAAACACTGCAAAATTGATCTTTTGCTGTAATGAATTATGACCAAAGTTTAGTGTTAAATTTCATTACCTATAGAATATTGCCTAATCTGGCCGATATTTATTTATTTCCTAATACGAAATTCACTTTACATGCTGGACAGACTGAGATTGGAATGTAAATATGCTGTGTCTGTATCAATTGCAGAAAGTAGCCCAAGAACCAACATTTCTTCAGGCGATGATTGGAGATCAGCATTTGATGCTGCAGCAAATGGATCTGTTGATGGCTCATACACTGGGTCATCAAGATCCAGCAGCAGCAATGGGCGGCGCCATGGTAATCCAACCCAGAATGGCGATGCAAGTTCAGGCGCAAACTCTGGTAGCCGTCGGACACCAAATAGGTTGCCACCTGCTCCACCACAAGGCGGTTCATCATCGTATAGATACTAAGTGGCTGGTGGTGTGATTGGGATTAGATATACTATCCATCATTGATGAATGCAAATTACCTATGTGCTTTGGCATTCTTTTCAGCTGATTCAAGCCACAGAAGATCAAAAACAATCTATCGTGCTACCCCCGTTGGCTATGGTTCCATTCCGTATGCAGAAGCCTTTTATCTATCTGAAAAATACACGATACACCGACCACCGGATCTTCCTGGGGTAGCCTGTTTTGTCATAAGATTGGCTTTGCTGTTATTCTCCCACCTAGTTATTAGTTGTAATAATTCATTGCAGTCTCGAGGTTTTGATTGTCTGAGCTCGTGGTACAATGCATTGTATCTAAAAACGTCCTTTTTTGAGAAAACTTATTATTCATCTGTTACGTTTTTATTTGGGTTTTCGTTATGTTTTCATTCTTCATTGTCTCAAAAGTTTCGGCCTCTACAACGGTGGGATGGGCATCCAGCATACGTAGCAAACTATGTACATCACCATTGTTCTCTCGATCAGCATCAGGGTGTGGTCTCATCTAGAAATCTAGACTCAAATGTCACATATAACTTTGTTAGATATGGAATCCACTGTAGCTATGAGACAAAACAATCTAGTATTTAATCAGCCTTTCCATTACTCGTGTATCCGAGAGGTGATAACCCAGCAAAAAAACACTGTAGACGTTTTTTCTGTAAGAATCAAAGACAGGTGCAGTCGTGTTCCGTATTTGAGGCATGTAAACGACGCACCTGGGGAGACTGGACTGAGTCTTATCTAAGCTAATAAAAGAAAACAGTTTAATATTTTGTGCTGTACCCATCCATGTCCTCGTTGTGGCCTTGTAATGAATGAACAACGGTCGGTCTCAGTAGTAGCATACAGAAAACAAAAAAGCAAAATCACATTCCTCTCATAAAATTTGTATTATTATACTATTAACTATAAATTTAGTCATAGTTGATTGGCGAAATCTGCGGAGGTTTCGCGGGTCTGCCTTCACAGATAAAAACACCGTCCTCTCGTCCTCCGCTCCTCCATTCGTTTCCACCCCATCCACCCGTTGCGACGCCACCATCACCCCTCCTACAGCTGTTTCCATCTCCTCCCTCCCGTTTCACTCCTTTCCGCTTCTTTTTATCCCCACCTCCCCCCTCTCTCCCTCTCTTCAAGAGAGGAGAGAGGGGTGGACCGCCGTCGTCGCTGATTTCATGGGCTCGGCCAACCATTCGCCGAGTTCAGACAATGCAGCGATGGCCACGGCGGACGAGATGTTCTCCAAGCGCGGCTGCTGCTGCTTCTTTGTGCCCTGGCCTAACAAGGCCTGGGAGAGGATAATGCCCCCGGCGTCGGAGCGGACCGACGGGGTCTGCCCCGCGGCGAGCCGGCGGTGGTGGTGCAGAGGATGGAAGGCTATCCTCAAGGTGCGGGAGTGGTCCGAGCTCGTGGCCGGCCCTCGGTGGAAGACCTTCATCCGCCGGTTCCGCCGCCGGCCCCGGAACGGCGGCGGAGGCAAGCCCGGCGGCAGGTTCGGGTACGACCCCATGAGCTACGCCCGCAACTTCGACGAGGGGCAGGGCAGCGACTCGGACGGCGACACCGTCCGGCGGGGTTTCTCCGCCAGGTACGCCACCCCGCCCGCGTTGGCCAAGTCGTCGATGGACTTGGGGGGCCTCAACGACGCGCCGCTCCTCGTCGGCTACGCCCACTGAGGAGGAGGAGGACGCCGATTTTGAGGTCGGAGGAAGGAGAGGAGTTTGTTTCTTGGTCGGCTGATTATTCGTTTTCGAATGCGATTTCTGTTCGTTATTTGTGTTTCGGTATTATTTATTACGTGATGATTGGAGGGGAGAAAAAATAAAAGCAGCGATAGGTTTAATGGGTGTGATTTTTTTTGCTTTTCCCAAGGAACAAAGGGTCTTGTAGTTTCAATTAAAACACCACTCCTCACTACTTATTCCATGACTTTTCTTTTATTCGAGGGTCGAAATGTCTTCCCTCCTTCATGTTCTTTATTCTTTTCATGGTTTTCTAAAATAGCTCGTTTGGTTTTACATTTTAAGGAAAGATTGGACAGTTCAAATGGAGAGGAGAGGTGAGCTCAAAGTTTTGTTTAATCATAATACTTTATATGGATCGTATGAGTGTTGGGTAAATGAGAAGGTTTAATTAGATATATAGAGTTAGCAAGAAAGATAGAACAAAAATTATTTATAAAATTATTAGGTGGAGCTATAATAGGTGTTAACATGTGATAGAGAGACTATGTGGGTAACTACGTAGATAGATGATGTAGTTAGAAGAAAGAAATAATTACAACAATATAAAGAGCGATAAGAAAACATTTAAAGAGATTTTATTAAAAATTATAAATAAAAAATTAAATATTCTTAACTTAAGTTAACGATATAAATTTTTATTGTGGTTTATGTTTTATTTGTTTTTTTTTTTTGCATAGGCATGTGGTTTGGTATAGCTAAGAGTTAAAAACTAATAACGAATATATATATCACTGATCATATCACGTCAGGTGAGTTAACAGAGGAGAGTAGACCCCAACCAGCAATATATTTATCACTAATCATCCTCCTCCTTCGAACGTTGGCTCTCATGAAGAGTCTTCTATTGGTCGAAGATGGGACTGATGTGGAAGAATGTATTTAGACATGCCTTGTCAACTAAATAAGGTAGGGCAACAAAAATCAGTGGGACTTTTGGAACTGTTGCTAATACTATAAAAGGCCATAAGAGATCATTTCCTTAGACTTTGTATCAAGCTTGTTGGCGGTAGGTGGACTTAAATCGATACTCGTGGTGGTGGATTGGTTTGCAAAGTATACAAACATTTATTGTTGCACCTCTATACTGCTCGGTAAAGAAGGCGGGCAAGTTGATGATGAAGAATGTGGTAATGTATTAGGGAGTTCCACACAAAATCATCAGCAATCGAGATGTGCGATTCTTAAGATGATTCTGGATCGAGCTATTCAAATTGTTGAGATCCAAGTTATACTTCTCCATAAGCCTTCACCCTTAAACAGATGACCAAACTGAAAGAATAAGTTCGACAATATCTTCAGTACTACATTATAAGTGACAACCAATAAGATTAAGTGAATTTGTTGGACATAGCTCAATTCTTCTATAACTTACAGCGGAGCTCCACATCCAACAAGAGCCCCTTTGAGATCATTACTAGATAGCAGTTGTCAACTCCTTACACCTTGACGATCAATTATACTAGAAGTAGCTCATCAATGTAATACTTTACAAAAGAATGATATCGAAACATAGATATTCCCGAGTATACTTGGAGAATGTGACCAAAAAGATGAAGAAGTAGGTAGATCTTGAAAGATAACCATACGAGTTTAAAGTCAACAACTTGGTGCTGGTGAAACTCCCACAAATATCATTGCAGTTCTTTAGCCATAGAGTGCACAAGGGATTAGTGTGTAAGTATGAAGGGCCCTTCCCAATTATCAATAGGGTAAGCAATATCTCCTACAAGTTGCAATTGTTGGTGTGCATTAAAATTCACAATGTATTCCACATAAGCAACTTGAAAGCCTACCACTCAGATCCACAAGATGCTTCCTGAAATGTTTCAACTTGGCTACCCCACCAATGCCTCCTACGAAAAACGAGTCAAAGTCATTTTAGTGGATTGCAAGATAAAGCTACCCAAAGGAGCAGAGCAGATCAAATACTTGGTGAAGTGGCGAAAGCTTAATTATAGGATCGTTTGTAACTTAATTTGGTGAAGTTGGGAGTCTAAAGACACCTTGTGACACGAAAAAGCAATCCTTAAAGCCTACCAGCAAGCCTCAACAAGGGTGTCAACAGTTTAATTAGGAGATCGTTTATAACTTTTGTTTGCTTGTACTTGGCAGTGTGTTTTGCCTTGTTTATGTATGTTTTTGCTTGAAAAATGTGAGCAAGAACAGTTTACAGAGCTATAGAGCAATCGCTTATCAAAATGGGCAAAACTATCCTAGAATGGCTCAATTTTTACATATCATGGCCTGTTTTTTACAGGTTGTGGTGTTGTCATCAGTCATTTTAGTTCCCTAGCACAACTCAACACAAGGCTAGATGGGGGTTTGGGATAGTGTTGAGCATCGATTGGATTCAGAAGTTTGTACCCTAGAACCAATGTGCTCAACACCATGTGAGCAATCATTTGTGGACTTGCAACTATTCATTCTAAAGTTATTGTTTTCGCTTTCCTCTCTTTTTTCTCTTGCATACCAAATGCTTTCTAAATTACTTATAAGGCTGCCCTCTTTACGAGACATTGAGACTTGTCCACCACTCGTTTTCTGAAATAATTAATTTGCTCTTTTACAGGTCCTTCGAGACCTGAGAAAGATTACAACTAGGCTAACCCTTTGTAGAAGAATAACGCAAGGGTGCTTTATGACTTAGGCAATTCCAACTAAGTTCGTGACAGTCCGATGAACTCCTAAGCCACTTCCTCGGCCACATCAAACTCTTTGCGGGAAGCAGCCCAGAATCAAGTTGGGCTGATTCGGACATCATCGATATCCACCACATCATAGACCAAGCCTTCTTTTTCCGAACTCTTTTGTGGCGAATGAATGCAGTGAACACAGGCTATGCAATGGCAACTAATAAGAATTGGATGAAAGCCTAAAACCAAGGAAGTTGCAGCCTGTTGTATGCATACAGACAATGGAAATGAGGATGTGAGCACACAAATTATAAGATCGAGGCAGTATGTGCAATTGGTAATCATGATGTTTCTACCATTAAAGCCATACAGAAAAGATCCAGGGGAAGGTTGACAGGAAATGATACGAGTGGTACAAAACTGCAATTGACAGATCCTACTGGGTTCTGTCCTTTCAAACACAATTATCAAAACAAAAGAGAAGAAGTTCAAACTAATACAGAATGCATTTATAGAAATTAGATCTTCTTGGGCTACAAGAGGTCACAGAATTATGACAGATAGCTGGAAGGATGTGCAGATAAACATGATAAATGACTTCCTGGTATCTGGCTCAAGAGGAACATTCTTTTTCTTTGAGTTGATACTTCTGATGAAGTAAAAGAAATGCTAACAAGACCTTTTAAGATATTGGGCAAAGTTATAGAGGCAGCAGATGGGGGAAGGTGGCACAGATACCAAACTGATTTTGTTTTCAACATTTTCAGATCTTTTTGGTAGATGAACTGGAATTTGCTGTTCCCAAGTCAAGAATAATCTTCTGCTGGGCTTATGTGATAATCACAGAAAACACTACATGCTATAAGGCTCCTGGGAAACTGCTAGAGGAAATGAGAACAAGTTTATTCTGGACACTTTGTGCTGCTTATTCCCCTGTTAAAATTCTGGAGGATTTTACAAATTTAGAAGCGGGTCAGAGAGTGCCTTGAGAAAGGAAAGAAGATAACTAGGCACATACCAACCAAATCTGGTTGTTAAATCTTGTGGAAAAGAATTTACAGCTGCCAATGGACTTCTTAAACCATTTTTCAGAAGGTTTATGACTAATTTTCTACTTTGTTATGATGCTAGATCATCAGTCTGCTTCCAAAAAAAATATTCCACTTTAGTAAGTGTATTTCATCCTGATTGGGCAGATCAGATGGGGGAAATGGAGTTCAACATTTTGGAAGAAGCAGATCTGTAAAGAAGCCTGTGAACCACCCTTCACAATAGTTGAGCAATGATATGTTGTCCATACCATCACTCTATAATGACACCTACCGAACTAAGCTTGCTGTTGAACCTGTCTGTGCTGGTGATGAGCAGAAGTATGGGCCATTTTGCAGTGTTTATGGATGATTATTCACATGAATTACTTTCTGAATCCATCATACTGCTACTGTCCACTTATGATGCTTGTGTTATACTTGTTTTGTTTACATTTGGTACATTCCAGAGGTCCTTCATGGCTTGAATGAATGCGTAACCTGACTGGAACTAGATAATGGAAAGTGATTTATTTCTGCTGCACAGGTAATTGATTTGTGGATATTGGTCAACCAGCCTTGCAAGATGATGAGGTAACTCATGGTTCTTTCTTTCTTGCTATTTCTTCTGTTGTCACCATTATCCACCATTTGAATTTGTTGCTTAATTCTGGATAAAGATACTCTCTATAACGATATGGAGCAAGCAGTGGCACAAGCGAGATCAACAAGTTTGAGATCTTCAATGGAGAGTCAAAGAAGGTCTACACAGATGTTGCATTACCTGAAATGTGCTGCAACCGATGAAGATGACACTGGTTTTTATTTTCTTCATGTTAATTTGGAAATGAGATTTTGATGAACTCTAATTGGCCATTACTGACTGAATCTTACTGCTATGGATTATTGTTTAGTGAGAGTAATAGTGTAGATCATCTGCTAACCATTAGCTCGATGTAATTCTATCAGATTAGAACTTTTTAGAAGAAATACTCAGTTTTCTTTTCCTCCATGTCGGTCTTGCTCCTGATGTCTGTGTTTTGGATGGTTAATACAAGGTTGCTCCAGGGAAATAGAAGGTTAAACACTTAAAATACACTCTGAAGTTTCTGATACCAGAAAACTGGAGGGTAGGATTTTGATTGATGAGGGCTTCTAAAAGGTAGTGCTCTGCTGCTTAGCAACACATATCACTAATTTCTGAGACTTAAATCAGATTTTTGTACCAAGAAAAAAAGGGAAAAAAATTAAAGAAATGAGCTGGTAAAGAGCTGCAGGTTGTCCATAAATTAGATGCTTTCAGGTTTCATACCACTTCTGGTCCCAGTTTTCCACACTTTTATAACCAAGTACATCCATTTAAAAAAAGGGGAAAAAATCAAGCTAAAGAACTGTCCTATTCAAGTCCATAGGGTATGTTTTAATCTGAACTGTAGAAGAAACTTTGATCTCCAGAGTCTTTACCTCTGGAACTGACCATAGGATAATCATGTGTCACGGATTCTATAGCATGATGCTGAAATTTTGGCACTTCACAATCTTGTGACATGAGAACTGTGGCAAGGTCTTGTAGCACTGCTCTTTCTCCCATCTCCTTGTTTTCTTCTCTCAATGTCATAATCCTTTCATGGCCTCTTATTAGCTTTACTCTTTCTTACTTGTAGACTGAAGGTGATGTATTGTCAGTGCATTTCTTCTCTCAGGATACTTCGATAACATCATATACTTGGAGGATAGAAGCTGCTGCAACAAGTCAGCTTTATGCACTCATCAACAGAAATGCACATGCACCTCTTTTTCAGCCAAATGGGCTCACTCTATATAGTAGCAGCTTGGTTGGCCTCTTGCTCTGTCTCTATTGTCAATAATCTAATGGTCCCCATGGTTGTTGCTCAGCTATATTTTACTGCACTTAACAATTTCATGTCCTTTGCTGCTGCAGTTGCAATGAAGCTCATAATTTAGCACCTCCTCCTGGCTGACAAACTTTGAACAACCTATCCTGTACTTTCATGGATGCTGGAAAATATTGTGTAAGCAAACTGAAAGTTTGGTGGCTGAATGAATCACAAAGAAGTAGGTACATGTCTTGATGACCTTCTGCTGCTCTGTCCTTAGCCTGAAGTGATGTTGCTAATAACAGCCCCTTTTTTTTTATCTCAGTGTGCAATGAACTTGCATCCTGAAATCATATCCTTTTTCTGCCGCTGACAGTTTCTTGCTGCAGGGTCTGTGGTTGGTTGTAGCCATTAATGATTCCAGTATAATCTGTAGCTGGTGTCCTCTGTAATAACTATTCAAGCTCAGTTTGATCCACAACCATAAAGAGTGCCACCTAATGCTCAACAGCCAGCAACTGTGAAATGAACTCTATCTGCTTCCAGTAATCATTTTCAGAATCTCTCTGCCCATAAATTGTGAAATGGATGGACAAAGCAAAGAAAGCCTGAAACTGTGAACAGAGACCAAGTCAAACAAACTATGGTAAGCCAACTTCACTAATGCATATATTTTTGTATACAAGTTGCATTTGCATAATTCGACATCATAATTTGTAAAAATTATGTAGCAAGATTAGATTAAAAGGGTAAAAAAATATGAATACATTTTGGATGACTAATTTTCACTAGTTAGATGAAGAATGCGCATATCGCGTTGTGATATCAATAGCTTATTGTTTCTTAAAGAACTATCTGGTTTCCAAGTTTAAATTGGACTGCTAGAAGGTCTGAGTAGAAAATAAATTTGTAATTGTAAAATTGCAGTGATCAGAAAACAAAGAAATGGTTTTTTTTTTTCTATGATTTTGGTAATAGATAGTATAATCATCATATCTCATTACTTGTGTGCCATTACAGCATGAGATAACACCACTTACATCAACATCAAGATCTTCCTCCATATAAACTACATAATCTGGGCCAGCAAGTCAACAATGGCTTACTTGTCACGCACCATATACTAATATGGGAAGTTTAAAGATTGGAAGCAATCCTTTTCTCTTCTTCTCTAAAGATGCTCACATCATCTATTTTGGCTCTTTTATCTCCAAGCTGGAGAACAAGATCATGGGAATCCATCATGCTGGGCCATCACTGTCTTCATTGCTTTGGACGGCAAAATATTGTGTTGTTATGCCTGTTTGGAATCCACTATGTGATAAAGCCATGTTTAGAGAGGGCATGATTTGTGGCACCCAGAAGACTTTGGTATTGCTTACTTTTAGATGTTGCAATTGGTACATCCAAGGGACAAAAAGACCCACACCATCTTAATCCATAACATACTGGTGGTTGACCATTATTCTTCACTGAAATATTATCCATGATGGCATAGAGTAAAGATGTTCCAATTGTGAACATATCTTTACTACAGAATGATTGCATTCCAAAGTTGATATATGATTTTTCTTTTCTTCTTTCTCAGGGCCCTGAAAGGTAAAGGTGGAACAATTAAATAAGCATGACACTGTGCTGCCCCAGGAACTGCTGCACCAGAGCAAGCTCATTGAAACTTCTTGAGAGGGATAAACCACACACATCATGCTCTAATCCTCTATTGTTGTGTTTGCTTAAATACTAGCACAGTATGACAACTTTAGCTCATGTAGGTGCAAACTGCTCTTTTGTTATTCTACACTGCAGTCTCTTGAATTCCATGCATGCAAATACATCTCTTCAGATACATCTTCCTAAGAAAGAAACCCCATCCTCTCTGGCTGACCTAAGAATGATGTGTGTTGACATGATGTATCTCTGTTAGCTTGGTCCTTGTTAGAAGCCATACTTCTGTAGGTAAACTGTAGTGGTAGCCATACCTCTCTCTCTCTCTCTCTCTATAATTGAGGAAGGAAACAGAGTTTGTTGACTCATGAGACTTGCAGTTGTCCCAACAAATCATTCAAAAGATGGATTACTAAGCATACATTTAAGGATTCATCTTCCATATGATTTGGTCTCTCATGATTCATGTCCAGCACCACCACTCAGAGATTTCTGCATGGATGTTCATGATTTTTTTTTTACTTGTTATTGAAATCAAGCATCTGAATCAAATTCCTTGAACTTAGTTGGAGAATTCTAAATGCTCTTTGTCATCAACACTGCATACAAATTGTTCCATAGCAATCCTGCATGAAAGCCACACTCAACCTACTTGACCTGTTCATCAGCTCTACATTTCAAGTTCATATGCAAGATTAGGTGAGACTAATGGCTCATTCTGCTGCTAATCAACTCCCATCTACCCCACCCCAGCTGAATAAAATACCCATCCGACCAACCAACATCAACACCTTCTCCATCCCCCACTCTTCTTCTCCTTTGGGGATTAATTAGCCAGTTCATGACCACTCTTGGCACTTCAAACAATTCATTCCATCAAACAGATGGCGAGCGTGGAACATATGGGTTGGGTACAAAGAACTCAAAAGGAGTAGCTGACATTTCAAGATACATTGCTGTCATATGCTGGTACTACTTCTCAATCCTTCACCATCCTCCTCTCCTCTCCTCTCCCTTTGTTAGCTCCACCCTTCAATTCCCCCAGAAAAACACAAAAATAACATATAATATGAAAACGAATCCAAATCAAAAGTCAAATGCTAGCATTAAAACCTTGGCAATTATAATTAGATACTCGAAGGATCCAATTTAAATCATAATCAAATCCCTTATTAAATCAGACACTGATTTCTTCTTAATTAAATTATAACGAGATATTGATGGGAAATTATAATGGTAGAGCGTGATATCGTGTGGGGATTACGCAAGAGATCTTCGAATTAAATGAAAATGATCCATCTATTTTGAATTTTTCTGATTTTTTTTTCTTGAGATGTGTGTTGTGCAATTATTAATAACATGCATGCATGCCATGCCCTCTCTTATAGCAATCAGCGTGGGAAATTAATTGCGTGCTCTTTCAGGCTATCTTATTTGAGTTTTACTTTTATTTTTTTAATATTTAGTTCGATAATTTTACCACAAATTGATAGGGATGAAAATAAGTAGGAAAATTAAGGTGGAGCCATCTAATATTGCTTTGATTTATCAATAATGACAACGAATTAAAATTAAAATTTGCCATCTCTCTTATATTGAAGAATTAGGGTTTAAATCCCATTTATGCATTATATATATATATATAGCATTTCCATGCTATTTATTTTTCTCAAGGCTTCCAATGACTCAATAAAAAAAAGAACATAATATAAAAAAAATAACAGAAAAAAGGAAAATGCAATAATTTTCTAAATTGATTAATTTTAAAAGTTCGAAAAATAATTTTTAATCTTGTTTATGTTTAAAGCTACTATAAAAAATATAATATTAGAAAACATTAAGATGATGATTTTACTCTTTAATATATCATGCAACACTACTAAATGAGGGAGGAGAAAGAGAAAGAGAAGGTGAAAGTCATGTGACACCATATGATGGGGCGAATATAACGATATAAAATGATAGAAGAAAGGATATTTATATAATTATAAAAATTAAAGGTACTATATATATATATATATATATATATATAGAGAGAGAGAGAGAGAGAGAGAGAGAGAGAGAGAGAGAGAGAGAGAGAGAGAGAGAGGGGTATATATGGAAAAACAAAAATAGAATCTTTTTCAGAAAAATCGTCTGTATATGAATTCCAAAAAATAAAAATAAAAAAAAGGATGACAATTCCATGTCACCTCTTCTGCCAACTCTTTTACTGCAACCAGAAGCATCGCCTCCTCCTCCACTTCCTCCTCCCTAGTCTCCTCTCCACCTCTTCCTCCTCCTCCACTTCCATTTGCCACCTACCGTTGACAACTCCATCTCTCCCTCTCCCTCTCCCACCTCCTTCCTCCTCCTCCTCCTCCTCCTCTCTCTCTCTCTCGCTCATGTGTACCATTCCCCTTTCCTACTACAAATCCAAGGCGCTACCTTTGTTCCTGTGCAGCTTCTCCTAGAGCTAGATTCAGGGCTAGGGTTTCAGGGGAGGAGCTTCTGTAGCCTTCCAAAACTCTATTCCGGCTTAGATCTGAGGCGCCGCTTCTTTCCGACAGCTCTGTGAATCGTTTCTTGAAGCCTCTCTGTCTCCCGGATCTGATTCCCTGAGGCAAATGGTGCCGTAGCTTTCGACATCTCTGGTGGCGCAGCTTCGCTCCGTCGGCTCGCTTCTTGGCTGAACCTTTCGGAACGGGGGACGGAAGGGCCGAAAGATTGGATCTTGGTGGAGATCTGGAGATACAAGGTATGTATGAGAGTCGATGGACCCAGATTTGTCGTGCCCTGGCTTGATTTCGTGGAAAAAAAATTATTGCATGTGGCGTATGGGATAAAACCATGTTCTTTTCTTCTTCTGGGTGTTAATTTGTTATTGTGGTGCGAGAATCTAGATTTGGAGTGCCTGTTTGGTGTTTCTGTTTCCTTACTGATGATGCTCTTGGAAGCAGTTAGTAGTTCTTTATTGAGTTGAACTTGCTGGTAAACTTGATGCAGGAGTTGGTTAAGGTGGAGTGGTTTCTCCATCTGTGATTTTATAAGACTCTACAAGACTGAATAATGGGAGAATGTTAATATGTACATTGAATTAAGTAAGGAATATTTCTTCTCGCTTTTCTTAATTCTGAATTTAACAGTATGGAATACTTGCAGATTCTGGTAGGTCCATTTTGACCAAGTTAAAATGTTCTGGAAGTTGATTGTGCACTCAATTGTTGTGTACTTCTTTTTAGTATAGGATAAAAGAATAAGAGCTCACATTTTAAGAGTGATCTGTTATTTCAGCTGGGAGTTATGTGTATGTGTGTCTGTGTGTGTTTTGTGCTTGCTAATTTTTGTTTCCTTCTTTATATGCTTGTCTCCACTTTTGTGTCTTTGCTTGTCACCCTCTCTTATAAGAGGGTCGGTACGATTATGGATATCTTCTGAGCATTTGCCGTGCTATGACTGTAATGCTTGCCTTAAAAGTTCGTATCTCGTGGAAATAAATGATAGTCTTCTCATCCCTATTTTAGGCCCTGTTGTGATAGGTAGCCTATGTTTTGTTTTTTCTTGAGTTCCTGAATATTTTCTACTGAATAGATAGCTTAAGCGTGTGATTTTTTTTTTTAGTATTCATATGTTCTCCTTCAGTTTGTGCAACTTGAATCCATGAGAACTGTCATGGTTTGTACTGGGTTTATAGGATACTACACAGACCATGTTGGAAGTCTCCTAGTTATGATGCTGTAGGATGCTTCTGTAATTACTTTCATGATGTAGTTCCTTCTTTCTTATTACTATTCAATTGGAATTCGTGTATCATAAATTTTTTATGGGTTGGATGAAATATTTTCAGTGGATATAAACAGTTGTACTTCTATAGCTGCCTTGAAAGGACATTTGCATAAGTATAAACCCCGCATTTTTTATCATTTATTTCAAATAATTATCTGAAGTGGTTGGAGTTTTACGCTTCATATTGGATTTTTTTCTCTTGCAGGAGCTTTGCTATCAGAAATATGTCATCTCTGAAGGAACATTTATATGATAAAACATTTCTTTTTGGCCTCAAGTTGTGGGTTGTAATTGGGATAATTGTTGGGGTCTCCATATTGGGTGTTCTTTCCATTCTAGTTATATGCCTTAATGCTAGGAGTCAAAGAAGGTCAAGGAGGGCTTCCAACAATCTTCCAGTTAGCCAAATACCACCGGTCTCAAAGGAAATTAAAGAAGTTAGGGTTGAACAAGTCTCAGCTAATGATTTTGTTGCACGTGATGGTATTCTGCTTACAGTTCATGATAAATCCAATGAAAAAGAAACGGACAAGGTTATGGTCCATTTGGGCTTGGGCAAATCAAGGCATGCTGATGAGAACAGTCATTCAGGCTCATTTCATTATATAGATAAAGATGGTAGTTGCCATTCTGGTGATGAAGGAAGTTCAGGGACAGTTGCTGTACATAGACAATCTTCTTACCGTATAACTGCTCCGTCACCTTTGACAGGCCTCCCAGAGTTTTCTTACCTTGGCTGGGGTCACTGGTTTACCTTGAGGGACTTGGAAATTGCAACCAATCGTTTTTCAAAAGATAATGTACTTGGGGAGGGTGGTTATGGTGTTGTTTATCGAGGACAACTCATCAATGGTACTCCAGTAGCAGTTAAAAAGCTTCTTAATAATCTGTACGCCTTCTTTGCATAATATTCTTTAAATTTGTAACATGTTTTTTTCATTTTTGATATTATGTTACCGCTTGAAATTTACCTCTTGGGTGTTTGATGACAGAGGACAAGCAGAGAAAGAATTCAGAGTTGAAGTTGAGGCCATTGGTCATGTCCGCCACAAGAATCTAGTACGCCTTCTTGGATACTGTGTAGAGGGTACTCAGAGGTACATTTCTGTTAAAACCCTTTATTCTATGGTCTCTACTGTGTTCTACGTGCTGCATGTTACATATGTGGTTCACTTCTGTCGGTTCCAAGTACAAGCCGCCACTTTTCATATTAAATGTCAATATTTTGTAACTAAATTACCCAATTTTAGACAATGTTAGAGTCTGGAATTGGATGTTAAAACTTGCTAAAACTTTTCAAGAATGATCATCCTAACTTGTCGTTTTGGTTGTATTTCTCAACAACTCAGGATGCTAGTTTATGAGTATGTGAATAATGGAAATCTAGAACAATGGCTTCATGGAGCTATGCGTCAGCAGGGTTCTCTTACCTGGGAGGCTCGCATAAAGATTCTTTTGGG